TTCTGAGACATGTTGAGAAAATGATGATTTCTAGGATGATTCCGGGAGACTTTTCTGGGACATGCTGAAAAATGATGATTTCTACGATGATTTTGGGTAGAATTCCTGGGAATCGTTGAAACCATGATGATTTCTACGATGATTTCGACAATGATTTTTCGATGATTTTGGGACAGCTTTCAAACGATAAAAAAATGATTAAACGGCGGGAAATTATCATTTTTTTATCGTTTGAATCATCGTTTAAATCATCGTTCTTGGGATTTTCCCTTCGTTTTCCTTAAAAATGCTCCAAAATGGAGAAAATGATGATTTCGACGATGATTTTTGCGATGATTTTGGGACAGCCTTCAAACGATAAAAAAATGATAAAACTGCGGGAAATTATCATTTTTTTATCGTTTGAATCATCGTTTAAATCATCGTTTTTGGGATGTTCCCTTCGTTTTCCTCAAAAATGCTCCAAAATGGAGAAAACGATGATTTCGACGATGATTTTTCGATGATTTTGGGACAGCTTTCAAACGATAGAAAAATGATAAAACTGCGGGAAATTATCATTTTTTATCGTTTGAATCATCGTTTAAATCATCGTTTTTGGGATGTTCCCTTCGTTTTCCTCAAAAATGCTCCAAAATGGAGAAAATGATGATTTCGACGATGATTTTTCGATGATTTTGGGACAGCTTTCAAACGATAGAAAAATGATAAAACTGCGGGAAATTATCATTTTTTTATCGTTTGAATCATCGTTTAAATCATCGTTTTTGGGATGTTCCCTTCGTTTTCCTCAAAAATGCTCCAAATGGGAGAAATGATGATTTCGACGATCGATGATTTTTCGTGATTTGGGACAGCTTTCAAACGATAAAAAAATGATAAAACTGCGGGAAATTATCATTTTTTTATCGTTTGAATCATCGTTTAAATCATCGTTCTTGGGATGTTCCCTTCGTTTTCCTCAAAAATGCTCCAAAATGGAGAAAATTATGATTTCGACGATGATTTTTCGATGATTTTGGGACAGCTTTCAAACGATAAAAAAATGATAAAACTGCGGGAAATTATCATTTTTTTATCGTTTGAATCATCGTTTAAATCATCGTTTTTGGGATGTTCCCTTCATTTTCCTTAAAAATGCTCCAAAATGGAGAAAATGATGATTTCGACGATGATTTTTCGATGATTTTGGGACAGCCTTCAAACGATAAAAAAATGATAAAACTGCGGGAACTTATTATTTTTTTATCGTTTGAATCATCGTTTAAATCATCGTTTTTGGGATGTTCCCTTCGTTTTCCTCAAAAATGCTCCAAAATGGAGAAAAATGATGATTTCGACGATGATTTTTCGATGATTTTGGGACAGCTTTCAAACGATAAAAAATGATAAAACTGCGGGAAATTATTATTTTTTTATCGTTTGAATCATCGTTTAAATCATCGTTCTTGGGATGTTCCCTTCGTTTTCCTCAAAAATGCTCCAAAATGGAGAAAATGATGATTTCGACGATGATTTTTCGATGATTTTGGGACAGCTTTCAAACGATAAAAAAATGATAAAACTGCGGGAACTTATTATTTTTTTATCGTTTGAATCATCGTTTATATCATCGTTCTTGGGATGTTCCCTTCGTTTTCCTCAAAAATGCTCCAAAATGGAGAAAATGATGATTTCGACGATGATTTTTCGATGATTTTGGGACAGCTTTCAAACGATAAAAAATGATAAAACTGCGGGAAATTATCATTTTTTTATCGTTTGAATCATCGTTTAAATCATCGTTCTTGGGATGTTCCCTTCGTTTTCCTCAAAAATGCTCCAAAATGGAGAAAATGATGATTTCGACGATGATTTTTCGATGATTTTGGGACAGCTTTCAAACGATAAAAAAATGATAAAACTGCGGGAAATTATCATTTTTTTATCGTTTGAATCATCGTTTAATCATCGTTCTTGGGATGTTCCCTTCGTTTTCCTCAAAAATGCTCCAAAATGGAGAAAATGATGATTTCGACGATGATTTTTCGATGATTTTGGGACAGCTTTCAAACGATAAAAAATGATAAAACTGCGGGAAATTATCATTTTTTTATCGTTTGAATCATCGTTTAAATCATCGTTCTTGGGATGTTCCCTTCGTTTTCCTCAAAAATGCTCCAAAATGGAGAAAATGATGATTTCGACGATGATTTTTCGATGATTTTGGGACAGCTTTCAAACGATAAAAAAAAACGATAAAACTGCGGGAAATTATCATTTTTTTATCGTTTGAATCATCGTTTAAATCATCGTTCTTGGGATTTTCCCTTCGTTTTCCTTAAAAATGCTTCAAAATGATTGAAAAAGTGGCAAGCCACTGGAAATGTGGAGAAAATAATGATTTCTACGATGATTTAAAATATGATTCTTTTTGTGATTTTGGAAGCTTCTCTGCGGGGCGCCAATATAAAACAAATAAGCAAAAACAATGGATACATCAATGAACTGTTTGAAAACCAAATGAAAACAATGAAAAATTTACAGTAAATTAAGACAAATTAAGTTTTAGCAAGGGGACAAACACAAAAACAAAATGCATAGCTACTTTGCGTCGAGCGATCCCCAAATTGACACTCCTCTACAGCCATCCATGACCTGGGACAGTAAGCGCAGGCAAATAAAGCCAGTTGATGGTTTGATATGGTTTAATAGATTTATGATATATATATATATTAATATATATATATATATATCCACGTATATATAGCCCACATCAAAGAAACGACACTTAAAGGGTAAGATCAAGTGGAGAAGACAGGAGGGGAAGTGCAGTAGCAAAGAAAGTCAAGAAAAGAAAAGACGACGTGATAGAAAACACAGAGGATAAAAACCTTTGACAATCCATACAAAGAAAAAATCAACAAAATAACCCTGTCAAATGTTAAAAGAGAGGCTGGTTAGACGAAGAAACAAAAGATAATCAAAAAGATAATCATTTCAGATGATAAAAGAGAGGATGATTTATATGATGTTTTGTTTGAAGATCTTGGGATAAAAAATGATAAAAATATCTGTTTTTCAT